AACTATTACATATATTGGACTTAAAATTTAAGGATGTCATAGTCTTTATCCACATCCAAAACACTAAGTACTCAGTCCTAGTCATCATCGTCATGTCAGCCCGTTATCTTAGTTAGCTCCTTAGGAGTCAGATCCTCATCCTCTTCAAGATCTCCAGAATCAGCCTCAACCTTAACACCCATTACTCGCTCATCAGTAATCTAAGTTGGTCTTCCATGTATGTCATGATCAATAAGTACTTGAATTTAGAAAGATATTGTATTAAGATACACTTAGTTTATGATCTTTGAATTTTTATTTTCTATCTATGCTTGAATTTTGTTCAGCATTTATGCATTGAAGTTTTGTATTATTATGCTATTTATGTGAAGTTATATAAGCATATTTTTTTTTTATAAGTTTTTTTTTTCTTAAACAAGTGCGAGTAATAGGTACGAGTATAGGTATGCGAGGTACTCAAAGGATACAAGTATTGGTGTAACACCTTAATTTAATTTTCAAAATAATAAATTTCGCAAATGGGAATAATTAAAATTTCATTTAAATAGAATTTTCCAATACAGAGTTTTATCAAGTTTTTCAAAATGATAAAGGATTACAAGTTTATATCAATAACTACTACAGGACCAATTCAATTACAATCGTAATTTCAAACAAAATCTAAACTCTATAGTTGTTTCACCCATTCCTTTACTGAGCTCAGTGTTAATCATCTTGGTCACCTGAAAAAAAAATGTAAGAGTAAGTACTCTACACTATCCAACACACACAAAACATAGAGACTCACCTTGCACACCCACATGTATTCTAACATATTCTACTCAAGTATAGGCAATCATAAGCAACACTTTCAAGCATTTCATACCGATACACTTACAACACCAAAACATTTACACACACATACTTTCACTGCACGTAGCCACACTTATCGTGGCACTATGATCACAATTTCACACCATGAATGGTTGCCGGTTACTCCCGCATCACGGATACCACGTGTGTGGTCACGAGTCGCTCGGCAAAGGTGTTGGTCAGAGGTCTAGTCAGGAGGAGAGTGTATGGCCTATGGTGCACCCATGTTCACTGTTGGTGTCACCACCACTCTCTCTTCCCCAAGGTATTTCTACCGTCCCATCTTCCACACCTCTAATATATCGTTGAACCATTCACAGCATATTCACAACCGCATTTAATATGCCTCATTCACACACACTTCAATTTCATACGATATTCATATTCGTACACGGCACACAGGCCCATATTCATTCGCATAATCCACACTATGCTTAATTATGCATTTCATCACACCCAATAGTCAACATTCAACACACAATATTCCACGCAACCTTTCCACCACGATTTCATCACGACCAATCATTCACATTTATGAACATAATCATAATCAATTCATCCACTCGCTATCAAATCATATTCCCCATAAGATTTTTATCACATTACAATCACAACCAAACCATTCTCATTAAATATACATCTTCCTACATTCTATCTCAACCACATTGTAATCCATGGAAAAAATAAATAAATTCAAAACACAATGAGATAGGGTAGAGTCCCCTCTTACCTCAAATGAAAACCCACACACCAAATCAACAATGAGAAGGATTCCCACATGAACTTAGTCCTAAATGCATGGAAGAATCTCATGACAACCAAGGAAAACTGAGAAAACAGAGAATAAGCGTGAGAAATCGAAACCCTAACCATTAAAACTCACCTCAAAGCGTTCCCAACATGAATGCAACCTTCAATTTAGCTCTTGAATGGATTTGGAGGCAATTAAATCGATGAAATAGGGTTTTGCTTTAAGAGAATCAAAGAGATTTTGAAGAGAGAAATGGGAAATGAATTTTTCAAACCTTAACCCCTTCAAATACCCCTCTGCTTGTGACATTCTCGCTACAGCGAGGCATCTCTCGCTGCATTAATACCCCTTGTTGTTACAGTGAAATTCTCAGAGGAAATTGCATCCTAGTTTCTGCAGAATTTCGCTACACCGAGACTGCACCTAGAGTTGCACCCTAAATTGTCGCTCTCTCGCTGCAGCAAGGGACCTCTCGCTCCAGCAAGACCCCTCTCGCTACAGCGAGAACACTTTGCACCCTATACTCAACCTATTTCAAACAGTTCAATATAGTCAATCTTGATACACAATTAGCATCCATATTTATCATATACGCGCACACATATATATATCACCATTCAATACTCATCACGCACTCAAGTGCATATTCCAACATTCATTCACATTTACATATACATAATAACAATCAATATTACAAAATTCAGAGCGTTACAATGGAGATTAAAATTATTATCCACATGGGTATGGGGATAGGTATTATAATACCCTACCTATACTTTACCCATTGTTATTCTTACAAAGAACCAAATCAATAAATAAGCTACCAAGATGAGTAATGTAATCAACCACGATGTCAATCATAAAGTTGATGGAGCAGTGAAAAACTGTGAATAGAAATGGAGACGTGGAGCTATTGAAGGAGAAGAAAATGACGCAAGAAGTTGAAGGAATTTTCTTTTGAAAATAAGCTTTATTAAGCTTTTAATTCCTCTACTTTAATGTATGTACAATTTTAATATTTTTAATTTTAATTATTTATTCTCTTTAATTTTTTAAATACCCAACTTAAGTCCTCTACTCAAAATCAAAACTTTATTATATTTTTTTTATTTTTATTTGTATAAATTAATAAAATGGCATATTTCTATTATATTTTTATTAATTATTGAATATAATTTTAAAATAAAAGATTTGATTTGAGCATTTGAAAATTAGAAAAACTAAACATGAATATTTAAAACAAAAAAGAATAAAATTACACATATGTTAAACTATAAAATACTAAAGTACAATTAATATTATAAGGCTATGTTTGTATTTTATAGTTTAGGAAGGGAGGGAAGGGAAGTTAATAAGATTTGAACCTTTCTAAGAGGGGAAGAGTTAGAGAGTTTTTTTAAACTTTAAAATCCTCTCAATGTTGGTTTTGAGTGTTCCCTCTCTTTTCTCTCTCTCTCTCACATGCTCTTTCACATTTACAATTCTATTTTTTTTTTCAAAATATGTTGATTTTTAAAGTGAGAATTATTTTTTAGATTTTATAAAAAAAATATTAACTTTTAGAGAGAAAAAATATTAAATTTTTGTATTTTTTGAAAAAAAAAAGATAAAAAATGAATAAAAAATATAAAAGACAATAATATCATTTACATTATTAAACCCTCATTACCTTCCTCTTTCAATATTAAACATTCAAATAAGGGAGAAGTTTAACTCTCCTTTTACCTCCCTTCATCATTCTGTTCTCTCAATATTAAACATCCAAATAAAAGAGAAATTTAACTCTCCTTCTTCCACTCTTCTCTTTCTTTCCTTTTTCCTTCAAACTCTTTTTTTTCCTCCTCCAAACATCCAAACAAAAACTAAGAGTATTTAAACAATTAAGAAGTGCAATCGGAGTAAAGGGGTTTTTAAAAGGCAACCCCTCAACAAGATTAATTTTCTTTGTTTGTCAAGTATAAATATATAACTTTTTAGTGTTTTATTTGCCATGTTCTTGTAGAGGTTTGGTTGTTAAAACAAATTTACTTTTTGCATTACACTTTTATTATTTGCACTAGTCCTTTTTGTTAACTTTTAAAATTTAAATTTTAAAAATGTGATTAACATATATCAGGAACTAAATTTTAGAAATAATTTACAAATGGCTTTCAAATTTTTATTTTCAAAAGGAATTGTTTCTAAAATTAAATTCCAAAAAATTTAAAAACAACTTTTACAATTTTATTTCAAAAATGAATTAAATTTATAAAAATTAATTTGTGCAATTAACAAAAGTATGATACAAATTTAATCAAATAAGTACCGCTACTTTAAAACTTTAAGCCCAAGATTGACATTGGATCCCATATTTTTTTCATAATTATGTTTCATTACGTAAAGAAAATAAAAGAAGAAACTCACTTCTCACAAAATTAACTCTAGTAAAATATTGTGATTAGACCAAAAATCAAGCTCCTCTCCTCATTCAAATTCAACCTCAAACACATGACAATTTTCTATAAAATTCACAGGTTAATATTAATCAATATCCATGATACTCATTAAAGAATGAAAATAAAAAAAATATAATAATAGGCTTTTATCATAATTTCAATATATTTTAAGAACTAATAAAATTTTATTTCTTAATTTAACTAATACCTTCATACTAGTTGCCACACACCCACCCCCTCTCCCCCAAATTAAATTAAATGTTTAGAAAAGTTAGATAACTTGAAATTTAAGCATTTTTGAAAAAAAATTATAATTAAATTAGTTTTTGACATTAAACTTAAAACGAGTGTCATGTTTCAGTTATTTCAAACACACTCAAGGCCGAAAGATACTTTTACACAGTAGAACTCCGAAAGCATGAGAAAAAAACTGGTCTCAGACACTACTATAACAGCATTGAACAGATAGTGCGTTGTAAACAAAACAGTGAAAATAGCATTTTTTTTTTTTCTATACATTCTTTAGCATATTTCTTAAGATTGATCAATTTTTAAAGAAATTAAATATTTAAAAAAATAGTCTAGTCTATTATAATTGATCATTGGTTTAGACCCGGCCCCTAAAATTATGAGTACCAGTCAATTAAGTCTTATCATTAGACATGTCAATTAGATTCCTAACTTTAGCATTATTAGTCAATTTAATCCTAAGTTTGATTATCCACGTCAATCAATTTCGACCCTGATGTGAAGCAAATTGTCAAATTTAAAGACGAAATTGACGTGTTAATAAGGGATTAATTGATTGGTGTTTGTAGAGACCAAATTAACTTGTAGTTAAAAAGCTTAAATTGTTGATAGTAAAGCCATCAAGTGATAATATACAAGAGGCTCTAATGAACGATCAACTCAAGCCAAAATTGAAAACAGCGATAACTATTAGGGCAACCAAAAATTACTGATCATCTGCTTTGAGTGCAAGCCTGAACAGCCTGAGAAATACATCTACAAAGCCTGACAATTCTTGAATACCCAACTCTCACACTCTGTGCTGCAGTTCTTATTTCATCTGCAAGTGAGGAAGGAAAAGACTTTTGTTCCCCGTCATAAGAATCAAATATTTGAGATGGAAGAACGTCAACAGGATAGGCTCCACTGCTCAAAAACCATTTGTCAAAACAATCAGCGTGTTCTTACAAAAGGGTGGTATAAGACTTAAATGTCATAATAATATTAAGGCATAATTAGTTCTTTAGTTATTTAACTTACTTTTGTTTCGATTTGGTCTATAAACTTTTTTTTTTTTTCAATTAGTCCCCTTAACTATTTTTTATTTTAATTTAATCTTCTAACTTATTTTTATTTCACCTAGATCCTCCATTTTTTCATTTTTTACTTAATCTTCTAACATTTTGTTTCATATTGGTCCTTTTAACATTCTCTTCTTCCACCATGTAACCAACACCATCGTCTCTACCGCGTCAACTAACACAAAAATCAGTAATGTACCAACCAACAAAACTAATATGAACCCGACCTGTCACTCACGTCTACCCTTGGAACCACTATTGTCTCTGCCATCACTTGACTCCACAATCTGAGTGGATAGAACTTAGTCTATGAGGAAGGGGAGGACGGAGAAGATTTTTATTTGTTATTAAGGACCAAAATAAAACAGTAAAAAAAAGGTTAGAAGACAATCAAAACAAAGAAAAATTATAAGATCAAAATGAAATACAAAAAGAAAAAATGGTTAGGGGGCTATAACAAAACAAAACATAGAGTTATTAGACCAAAGTACTAATTTTGCCTAGTATTAAAATCAGATAATATTAAATTTCTGCTGTGAATTATTATTATTATTATTATTATAAAATTAACAGAATAACGGCAGCATATGTATATACAAAAAAAAAATCAATGAAACATATGAAAGTAAGGATCAACTGCACAGGACACAATTTAAAAGGAAATTTAAAGAGATATTAAAAGTTGCAGGAGTTTACCATTGTAAGCATGACATATCGAGAGTCACTTTCACCGTCCCCCCGTTACAGAAGTCAATGAAAGATAGCTGTAAATCAAGCTGCTGAACTGCAAAAGCAGTATGAATTAAGCGTGAAATTGCAGTTTGTCCTTATCATTATCAATATTTAAAGGCAGAAAATCCAAGGTAGCCTCAGCTTCCAATCAATTGTTTACCTGAATAAGAATAGAACTTTCCCTCGACCAAATTTCTAATCTCTATCCGAGCTGATTGAACCTCCTCAATCACATCTAGCAAATTACTTAGTAGTGAACTTGTTATCTGCATAGAATAGCAGGTGAGCTACAGCAAACAGAATGTCGAGAAATACTATTCATCAATTAATAAGTTTCTAATCCCTATAAATATGGCTAAATTTGGTTTTAATCCTAAATTATAAAACATGTTGAAACACTCTAAATTTGGTTTTGATCTTCATAAATTTTAAAATTTTTTAAAACAACCATCGTTACCACTTAGTGACAATGTGGTACGCATCTAATAATATCCCATCTGCAGCCATCGTACGGTGGCATATGACATAGCATGTCTAGATATGTATAAAGTCTCGGGTAAGTGGTAAATGGCAATAGAAACCATTTCAAAAGTTTTAAATTTTGAGGATCAAAACTAACAAGATTTACAACCAAATTTAGCATTTTTACAAGGATGAAACATATTTTGCCCCAATGTTATCAATGGCGGATGGTGGGTCATGCCAGAAACCCAAAAAATTGTCATAAAATTATGGCGGATGTCATGGCGGGTTATGGCAGAATTATGGCGGATATAATAAATATATAAAAAATATTATATATAGGTAATAAGAAATTAAAAGAAAAAAAATTAACTCAAAACACAAGTAGCTTCAAACATAATTTAACACAAAATAAACATTTTTAAAATTTTTGTTATGTTATCTTTTTTTTAAAACAGTTTTTAGGGTTTTATAAGAGTAAAAAGACTCTTTCCTTTTAAAAAAATTTAGCATTCCCTTTTTGCCCTATGTTTTAAGTTTTTTTAAGGGTAAAATAGTCTTATCACACTACTTTCCTAACCCTTTTTTCTTTCTCCACTTCTGTTCGAACTATCTTCTCCAATATCCATCTCCCTCTCTCTCTCTTTTAGTGGGCCGTCTCTGTCTTTGGTTTGGGGTGGCTACCTTGCCTCATTTGGAGGACTAGTTGCTGAAAATAGAAGTTGAAGTCACCAGAGATAGAGAACAGAACAGTGGCACCCAGCACAACAAATAACAAATCAAAGAAAAGAGAGATCTGAGATAAGTGCAGAACAACATCGCAGAAGACAAAGATCGGAGAAGATGTGTAGAACGACGTCGGAGACGAGCAGAGATGAGAAAGATCAGAGAAGAGAGAGATTTGAGATGAAGAAAAAGTATTTTTGAGTGACGAAGAAGGACTTATCTTAGATTTTCCTGCGCAGGTCAGCCTCTGGACCAAGTCAAGTTTGGGCCCAAACCATGCAAACTGCCACCCTTGAGCTAGAAGAACATACGGGACAAGCTATTGCTATGAAATTGCAATAGCGCAGTCGAGAGTTGTCCGACAACTCGAGAGCCGAAGGAATGCAAAAATTACAGAACGTAATTACTACATTCTGCAGGATGAGCTATTTTTCAAGGTTTTCCCCCATGGCCGCCATTACCGCCATGCGTGTAACGGCTGCCATGGCGCCGCTACGCAGAAATGCCATAAAACGGAAGTAGTGTAACAGCAGGGTTAAAAACTGCCACCACAATCTGCCATGGCAGCCATTTAACAACAATGTTTTACCCTATGCTATTCTTTAATATTTAAAACCTATGAAAGCATAAAAAAACACTTAGCCAAAGAAATTAGAAGGCATATAATCAGTTTATAACTAATCTTCTGCACATTATGTTACTTTAAATTATCATTGTCTTTGCAATATGTTACTGTCATTTATGTCTGTCCCTAAATTTCTGGGTGAAGCTTTATCCCATCTAGATGTTGACAAGTCGTGCTTGATGAAATTAATGCACTTCAATAGCATACAAGGCCCTCCTAACCCATCCTAACAGCTCATCAATGACAAGTATTGGGAACTTATCCAAGATTGTGACTCTGTTTAAGGTTTGATAGTCCATGCAGAGGCTCCAACCTCCATCTTTCTTATCAAAATCATAGGGCTAGCATATGGAATCAGACACTAGGTCTAATGATTCTAGCAACTAACATTTCACTAACTAATCTTTCAAGCTCTTCTTTCTTGTAAAGTGGGTATTGATAAAGACCTTAATCTAGGAATTTGGCCCCTACTCTACTTTTAGATTGATTATGCGGTCTTGACTTCTAGGTGGGTAGTCTTATTGAATTGCAAACTATTAGGACCCAAAATGTGTCATGAGTAGTTCCAAAAGGGTCCATCAACCGTTTCATGGCCCAAAGTCTGAAAAGTCTATACTAGGAGCAATAGAGGTAGGGTGAGAGAAGGCCAAAGGAGTGTTAGTTACTGGCGGTGGGAGAATGTTAACAAATAAACTAAATACGTGAGAATGGGGTATCTTTTAGGAATTATTAAGTTTGTTGCGAATGGAGGACTCTTGCTTTTTCAGTAGGAGCATTGCAGTGTGGCAATAACAATGTTATCAATGACTGATGGCACCAAAAAATCTGCCATAAAGTTATGGCGGATATAATAAAATATATAAAAAAGATTATAATATGCATATATAATATTTAATATAAATGCTCAAGAAATTCTTAAGATTACATCATCATCATTACAAGTAACAGTAACAGTGTAAAAGAGAAAAACATTGCAGCGTGGATGTTATATTAAACAAAAAATGCTAAACAGAGCTTGAACAACACCACAGAGGATGAATAGCAAAACAGATCTTGAGCAGAAAAGCAAGAATGATCAATGAATAGTAAAATAGAGCTCAAACAGAAAAGCAAAATAGATGTCAGAAAAGCTAATTTCTCCGTTCAACAGAAATGCAGAGGACATACTGGAAAAACTGATTTTTCCAGCGAAATGGAGTGGATGACCCTCCAGACTAGTTAAATTTTTTGGCAAAATGGAGGGGGTAAGTTGGTGAGGATGAGAGAAATTGCTACATTGAGGTTTTGACTTTTCATGCGGAGAGAAAGAGTGTGGAGGAAGATGAAATATATGGTGTATCAAGGGTAAATGACCTTTCTACCCTTACAAACAATCAAAATAGTGCATTTTAAGAAAAACATAAAAGAGTTTCTTCCTTTCCCCAAAATCACGCAGTAGCACCTGCGACTTCTCCCTGTTTTGGCCGCGAACCACGTACAACCACCGCGATGTTACAAACGCCCTATAACGTGGCAGCAATGGTGCCTGACAGCTGCTCTGCACTGCACCGGCGTGATAGCACTGCTATTAACAAGTCATCTCAGGGTTTTCTTGCGCAGATCAACCTCTAGAAAAAAATGCCATTTTTCAACAATTTTTCCACCATGGCCGCTGTTACCGCCATGCGCGTAACGGCTGCTATGGCGCCGCCATGGAAAAATGCCATAAAACGCTAACGCTGTAACAGCTGGGTTACTTTCTGCCACCAAATTCCACCATGGTGTCGCCATGGCCGCCATTTAACAACATTGGGCAGTAGTTAGTCCTTCCTACATTAATTCCCTTATTAGATAAATACATCCTCAATTTCCTTCTAGCTTTTCACTGTTCTCTTTCTGTCAATTCTGGCTGTGTACCTCTGGATTGTGTCAAAAACACAGAAAATGAGAAGAGAATTCTCTTTCTGAGGGTTTCTGCTTCACAAAGGGTGTTCCTTTTCTACAACTACAACAAAGCTAATACTCAGTTCTCAAATAACCAAACAGAATACCCATTCTTCTACCCTCTCTACCTATTTAAGCTAATTCCCTACCTTTACAACTTTAACCAACAGAATTTTATAAACATCAAACTATTCATACTAACTACTACACTCCTATCAAAATCTAAATATCCTACTTATGTGCAGCATCTCCTTATGTGCATTGTCTCTCCTATATCCTATATGATATGATATGATATGCTTTGAAAAATGAATATTAAGATGCTAACAAAAAACAAAACGCAAAGATTTTGGTAATTTTCAACACACTTTCTGGGCTGTTTGCCACCAAACACCCAATTTCAACGCTCAACCACAACTCCCTGCTATGTGAACCTATGTTCTTGCATATTTGATTTAGTTACCTCTTATCTAGTTTTAGATTTTTATGTTTACAGGTCAAACCTACAGATACCTCTAGCCCAAAAAATACTCCAAAGATGGATATCCCAAGCTTTCCCCGTGCTACTGCTCTTCTTTCCACAATACCTATCATACTTGGTCATATCATATTTAAATTGTGGCTTGTCAACCAAGGATACAAGAAGGGCTATCTCACCACAAGAGCTCATCCATGATCCATATCATTAGATTAAATTTTCTGGTCCATATCAAGCAGATTTAAAATATAAAAGTTAATTGTGGACTGTCATCACCATTATTAATAACAATAAACGTAGTAATCCCTCCAAAATAGAAAATATGAAATAAAAATAAAACAGGCGTGATAACAAATATCATCATAAGAAATAAAGTAAGTTACCTGTGTTTCTCGTGCCATACTGATTAAACCAGTGCATTTCTTAGCAGTATGAGGATTTAAGACGAACACAAATGCAGAAAAAGCATCCAAGTTTGGGAAGGTCTGAAAACGAGATGCACCATATTAGAAAAGAAAAAGATATGAATATTGAATATTGCATAAAACAGATCAATTGTCAAACAAAATACCTTCCCAATATTCACATCATTCAACTTATTTGATATTAGTAAGCTGGATAGACCAGTATTTACTGCAACCCTACATTCCATTAAAACAGGTAGGAACTAGCATATTTAGTCATGCCATAAAAGATATCTAAAGCTCCAATCACAAAAATATGGAAACAGATCAAGATTAACTAACCTTTGAGTTATATAACCACAATAGTTGAGAAAAACTCTGTAACAATCATCCCTAAGCTCAAAATCTTCAATATCCCACAACTGGAAGAAAAAAGTAGAAACAAAGAGGACATCTGTCAGAATTCAGAAAATAAAATTTTAGTGTATGTAGATGACAAGAACCACTTTTAATCAAAAGACCTTCAAATTCTGGAATATAGACTTGCAAGTCATTCTCTTTTGCAAATAACCAGAAACAGATTTCATGCTGCTGGCACAGCTTCGATCCCCATCCATCTTGCAGTATCTATACAAGAATTCTCTTAAGGATTTTGCCTTTGAATCCAAAGTTTCAAGCTCCTGCTTCATTTCCATTACTTTTTTGCAAGAAACCTACCAATGAACAACACAATATTGCCATGAAATGCAATAGCATGATATGTTGAACCTTTTATGATCAATTTGCACCATCAAACTATGAATAGGAACTAGGCACAACATGCAAGGGAAAATACATGTATCTTACAAATAAAGTGGAATATTATCAATTATGCATTGGATTAATGATTGTGTCTGTAAGCTGTCACTATTTGAGTATACATGATTAAGTTTTGAATAATTTTAAAGCTTCATCATCTACTATTTGTGTATTAGAAATCATTTTCCTTGTATCTGCTATCTTCAGTTTGGCAGCCACTCCATTCATTTGTGTGATCACTGGTCAACTGCTCTACACAGCTATCCACACTTAATCACTTCGCTTGGATCTTTATTCTTTAGCATATATTATGATATCAATTATTAATTTGATTGACATAGTAATTTTAGGAATTGCTACCCAACTTCATTTTGTTTCTTGATTTGTTTCCTACTAATTAATATTAATATGATCTAGGGCATTCTAATTTATACAGAATATGATCCCTTTGTTTTCCCCCCTTTTCGTATTCAAACAGCATAATTTCAGTATAGTAGCAACCATTCTGACCTACTCCCATGCATATTTGACTTTTGAGCTACCAAATCAAAGTCACTGATTGTTGTCCTCTACTATCATCCTGCTTCAATTAACATTAGTTTTCCCTATTATTGTGGCAACTTTTCTGGCCATTTGCTGAGAATCAGAGTAACTTCCTCAATCATTGTTTTTCATTAAAACAAGTTCATTCCCCATTTTTTGTTAAGCCCAGACTTGTTTGGCTCTTTTATTATTGATTTCAGGCATTTAGGTGTGAAAGGAGGAAGAGAAATTTGAGGTTTCTTAAAAAAAAACATTCTTGTATGATGTGACCTATGTGAAATGATATTCTGTGTTGCAATGCAATGTGTCCCATAAGACGGTGTACTAATTTCTTATCTATGCTGTTGGGATTAATGGATGTAAATAAGGTAACTATATAAATACGTAGATAGCATGATTTTAGATAACAGAATAACAGGTAATTATTATGTAATTATTATGAAACAACCTCCTAGTTCCATTGCTCAAGAGGTATCTTCGGGACTTGTTTATCGACTGCGAAAGTTTACGCATGGTCTTATACAATCTCATCAGGCCTGGCTTGGCAGGTTTAGGACTGTAGTTCAACAATTTGATATGACTCAAAGTGAAGCTGATTACCCTGTCTTCTATCGTCGCTCTACAGCAAGATGTGTTTACCTCATCATCTCTATAGACAACACTGTCATCACAAGTAATGACCACCTTGGGATTTCACAAGGAAAACATCTCTATCATCACTTCTAGACAAAAGATCTCAGTCGACTTAAAATACTTCTTGAGGATAGAAGTAGCTCAATCTAAAAATAGAATTGTAATTTCTCAGGGGAAACATGCCATGAAAATCTTAAAAGAGACAAGGTTGATAAGCACCAAATTCATTGATACCCTATGGACCTTCATATCAAATTCCTACCAAGACAGGGAGCATCTTGCAGATTCAAAGAAATATAGAAGGCTTGTTACTTGTTAGGAAATTAAACTATCTCACTGTCACTCATCTTTATACTTCTTTTATTGGAATGCAACTATTCGAATCACAAAATATATCAAGGGAAATCCAAGGAAAGGTCTTTTGTATGAAGATAAATGACACACTCAAATTGTGAGATACTCAGATGTAGATTGGACAAGCTCTTTGATAGATAGGAGATCAACATCTGGGCATTGTGTTTTCATTCGTGATAACTTGATCTTTTGAAAAAGCAAGAAACAAAACATTGTTCCACAATCAAGTGCAAAGCTGAATTTTGAGTCATAGCTTCAGCCACTTGTGAGTTCAAATGACTCAAAACAGCTACTAAATGAATTGAAATTTAGAAAAAACACATAGATGCTCTTTGTATTGCCTCAAACCTAGTTTTTCAAGAGAAGACCAAATATATTGAGATAGATTGTCACTTCATTAGAGAAAAGATCTTGTTTAGAGATATTGTTACTCGATTTGGTAACGGGAGCTCATATCAATTATATTTATAACAAACTCAATCATATGATTTATATGCTTGAACTTAAAAGTGAGTGATGAGATTAATGTAGGCAAATAAGATAACTATGTAAATACAATAATTACATAGATAGCATATTTTATATAACAAAATATCATGTAATTATTACGCATAATTATTATAAATAGAAAGCTTTGTTGTGTACTTCAATACATGAATCCATCCGGTTAAGATGTCTTAAGTGCTTGGATAATCTTCTACTATGAACTAGCTTTTGGAATTAAGCTAAACCCAAGTTTTCAAATATGGTATCAAAGTCTATTCAGTTGAAATGTTGGGCTATTCATAGATATTCAATTCTGTAAAGCAACCCCTAGATGTCCAGTGCTGTAAACTTCACACACCAGATATTCAGTTCTGGGTGTGAGAGAGTGTGTTAAGATGTCTCACATTGGCTAAGAATAGAGCTAAAATACTCATTATAAAGGCTTGGATAATCCTCTTATGAGCGAACTTTTGAGAGTGAGTTAAACCTAAATTTTCTAACACAACCTGTGTCTTTAGGTTAGGGGTTCACACAATAGAGGCCAGTCTACCCCTGCTCGTCATCAACAGCCTAAAAGTAGACAAGGCTAGCCCATTTTTTAAAGTGAGCAAAAAATTGCAGTTCACCCCATTTAGAGGTAGGTTTTGGGCTGATCCATCAACCCATTTTCAAAAATCAACAAAAATTGTAAAAACATTAAAACAAAAAAATTTAAAAAAAAAAGTAGATATTATCTATAAAATATAATTGAACTATAACTTTATAATCCTAAAACAGAAATTTAACAACTTAAAAACTTAAATCATAAACCATCATTCATTTATCCACAAACCAATATAAAGTAATAATTCACAACAATTTCAAAGTCTTAATCAAAATAAATAGTCTATAACTATAAATCAAAATGTCCAAATCATAAAACATAATTCACAAAGCAAAATAAAGTCTCAACTCTCAATGCAATGTGTATTTTACCCCCCACATTCATACTCATTTCCACAACTGTTACATTTTTCCCTTTCAATTCTATCATCACCTAGTTCTATCTTAGTGGAAAATTTTCAACAATCAAATGTTGATTTAACCTTTTTCGTACCAAATACAGTAGAACGCAATTTTTCATTTATATTCTCCAAAATTTCCACATTATCACTAGAAGCAAGATTATTAGAGGCTTCTATGTCCATTTCATACGAATGAAAACTGAAAATAAATTAAAATTTACTACAAATTAAAAGCAACAGAAATCAGTGACAATAAGGGCTGGGGACAACTACCAATGTTGTTAAAATCACAATCAAGATCGTAAGATCTTACAATCCTACAATCTTCTTGAGGCTCAGCAATCATAATCGCATGTGAGATCGGAACCTATTGAGATCACGGTGAATCATGATCTTTCTCCCTAAGATCGTAGGATCTATGATTAGATCCAACCTTTGTTCTCGGGTTGGGTACTTAGTGTTGCATCATGTCACAGTGGTCAGCCGCTATTTCGAGCTCTTTGCATTCCATCAAAATTGAGATTCTATGTAGGATTAGAAAGGAGGTCAAAGATCATAACTCATAGGATTGTACCACGAATACAAAATTGTATGTATGCATATAAAATAGTATAAATATCAGGGAAGCTAAACAAAGACAAATGAGGGAAGGGAGCCACCCTCAACTCAAAACTCTACTAGGACATGCCCACTAAAAACAGAGAAAGGGATGAAGATGAGAGAAGGGGAGAAGGAAAAGATGGGTTAGGTAATGTATGCTGATGAGAAGACTATTTTACCCTTAAAAACACTTAAAATAGGGTCATTTATTTGAAAAAGATAAAAGTCTTTTTCACCCTAAAAACTGCTGCATTCTTGGGATAGAAAGGGAAATTCGAATTTTTACTGTAGCAGCATTGTTGCACTGCAAATTAGGCTACAATGGCCATAACAACAAAACACTCCATTATGGCAGGTCTATAGCAGCCAAAGGTTGCTCCGCCAAACCCCACCATGCTATTGACAACTATAAAGCAATCGGGTCAAAACACGAAAATGGGCTAAAACAGACATGGCAGAATCGCGCAAGTCTACCGATTTTACAATCTTGCACGGTGATTCCACACGATCTTACAAATCTGTGATCTTGCTTGCGAGCCAGCATAGCATGGTGGTTCAGGATCATAAAATTGCACAATTCCACGAGTCAGCAAGCAATTTTGACAACAGTTGCAAACACTATAGTGGTGGAAATTGCAGCTTTTTGCACGTGCCTTAGCCGCTACAGTGAGATTTTTTTAAAACTGAAAATTGTCCTAATTTTTTAAAGTTGCAGAACCATGTATTAGGGGTATTTTGGAGTTTTTAGGTCAAAACAAAAATGGCTTTTTAAATGGGCTTAAAAAAACCAATCGCTCTTTGCATTTTTGCACCATCATTTTTCTGACCCTCTACTCCTCTAGTATTGTGTGACCCATCAACTTAGTGCTCTCTAGTGGCTTTTTGGTGAGCAACTAGTGTTTTCCGGCTAGGTTCTGATGTTTTTGGCAAACCACTGTTCTTTGACCCTTGTTCTACATTTTTTGTCTCTGATTCTTCCTTTGTTTTGTTACTGTCCCACACTGCAAGTTGTTCTCCTCTCATTGTCATTTTCTCCTTTTCTATTCTAATCTTTTTGTGTTTTATTAGTTTTAGTTTCCAGCTATTTTGTTCTTTTTTCTTTATTTTGTCTAAATCTCTCTTTATTCAATTATAGTTTTATTTGGTCTTTAATGTTTTGTTACTTTAAGGCATTGAGTTAGAGGCTTAAACTTATTTATTTCCTTGTTTTTATTGTTATATATTTATATAGAAAATGTCATGAATTGTTGGTTAAATTATATGATTTAGAGGTTAATTTTTTTCTCCGTTATTTTCTATTCTTATGTATATGTTTAAGTATAGTGTTGTATGTTTGGTAGCATCTTACAATCTATTTTACGATCTTACGACTAACAATCTTTTACTCTTCTCCCGATCCTGGGTAGGATCCTAATCTTCACAATATTGACAGCAACAACAGTTACAAAAAAAGAAAAATAGCAAACCAAGGCAAGTAAATCAGAACATTAAAGCAAGCAAATCAGAACACCAAACAAAAAAAAAATATATGTTGCAGTATGTTACTCACATGCACAGTGGGGCTGGGGGCAACAAGCATTGTGGCAGCATAACAGCGTAACAGTGCAGGTTCTACACATAGGAAACAACAATGAAGATCAAAGGAATAAATGAGGAGGGAAAGAAAGCATCGTACAGGCTAGGTTGATTTAACACAGGCTAGGTTAATTCAACACAAACCTGCTATAGAGGGAGGTAGGGGGGCCACAGACTGAGGGGCTGCACGGCAGCGCCGGCTATGCACAGAGGTTGCTGCAGGACTGCCAAGACAGAGGGGGGCACAGGGGAGCGGGGAGGCAGGGGCTGTGGCACGGAGGACTAAACGTGGGGACCGGCGCCGCACCGACAGAGAAGAGTGACTGGGTGACTGGTGAGGGGGGGGCAAGGCTGGGGTCAATGACGTGGGGGGCTGCAGTGAAGGAGCCAAGCAAGGAGGAGGAATGAAATTAGAGTTAGTGTTACTAACTTACTACCAGGTTTAGGTCCAGTGGTCCACTAATGCAAAAGAAATTTTTTTTAAAAAAAAAAGGAGCTAGCCTGATGGGCCAACCTGGCCCGAATCTAGCCCAACCCATTTTGGGATAGATTATGCAGGTTGGATCAGACTACCAAAGCCCAGCTCATCTAATTTAGTGGGCTAAACGGGCCGTCCCTAGCCCAAATTGACATGCATACTTCTTGTTTCTCTCTTTCTCAACATATACCAATATTAAATCTGTCCAACTTAACTCCACATGTCAAATTCTTAATGTTATTTTTCCCACTCAGGTGCTTCTAAGCAATGGCAATACCTAAATGTGATGTTGATGGTCCAGGTTCTTCTCTACTTTATATTAATACTAGACTCAATTCAAATCAAATATGGAAATAGATGGAAACATGTAAATCGTGTATAGGTTCATAGTGTACGATAACAAAATCTTTGAAATATAGTGATTAGGACAATTGTAATATGTGTAAGTGTGTAACTCAGCTCCACTATGTTCCATAGACATGGATTTCACATCTAATTCTCTCTTCTCTTAATGACATCTAGAACTGGATCAGACATAACCCCGCTGTGTATAACCAGTAAACCCAGTCCTCACATGGTGAGTATTTTTTTTCAGAACAACCATGTTTCAATTCTGGTTCCCAGTCCCCACTGCCAGGTCAATTTAAATAAAACTTTACACACATATAATTAAATATACCTGACATTTCCCATGGGAACTAAACAATGCTGTATGCATAACACTATCACCAGCTTGAGTGTCCATTGCCCCACTCTTAGATGAAGATGGGACAAGATTTAATTTTATCACCTCAGACTCTTGAAGCCCAGAGCTCAACTGCTGTACCTTTTTCTAGGAACAATGGAAGTTTGTATTACCAACTGTAAGCAATGCTAAATTCTATAATGTAACATGTAATAGAGAATACCAGTAATCTTTCACGCTTCATATGCATTAATTGTAGTTTTGCCTTCTCATATGCTAAATTATACAGCAATATTCTTGTTTCTGCAACTCTGCAAAAGATTGCTTCAAGTTAACATCACCAATTTTCAATCCCTAATCCAAAACAGTCCCACAATCCATAAATGTATGAAATACAATAATTCACATTCCATAGTGTTGCTTAGTCAAATAGCTTAAAAATACCTTTTGTCACTACAAATGTTTAAAGGATCAGTTATTTTGTGCTGAAAGAAAAACAAGAACCTTGTCAATAAACAGGAAATGCCAGACTTACGTATTGTCTTTAGAGGAAGTAATATGTTCAGATCATCATAAAATGTAAGCTTGTTCATGAAATAATCTAACCATAAAAGGGCTTTAAATTTGATAACCCAATATAATAGACCTGAGAATCAATTTCAGAACAAAGAATCTTCAATTTCTTAGCTTTCTGCAGATGAACCAAAGTATCCTCCAGCCTGCCAATCTAAACATCGAGGGGAAAAATAATTATTTATTTAAATAGCTATCTATACCAAATTAACGTGAACAATAAAAACTAAAAAATAATCAGCAATTAGATTTGAATGTTATTGTTTTCTAAGTCCACATTCATATAGTAGAACATACCAATCTCAAATTTAGCTCATCAACCACTGGAGAAAATAACTGATTTGTGCTGGCTAAGAATTTTTTAAGAATCTGCAAGATAATTGAGAAGTTGAGAGGCCTAAAAAAACAAATGAAATTACAATCAATACTACAAAAAACAGTAGCCATACATGATCCCAATCATTCCATGTCTGATCTCCAAGCTTCTCTTTTTCACTTCTACCTGTTTGCTCTAAAACTAACTCTGGACTTCTGCGAATCCTCGCTATTTTATCTATAGTGTTTCCATCACTTGGTATCTCAACACCTTTTCTTTTCTTCCCAGAAGAAATCTCTATACCTGATTTCGTTAGAGGACCCTGAGCTACAAAGTGTTCCAGATGGTAGCTGTAATCAAGACCATGACCATCTGAGTTGTCATTAGGAGAAATGTCTTGTATACCGGAAGGTTCTTGCAGAGATGACAATTTGGTGACTTTTCGGATTGGAGTGCTTAGAACTAGAATTCTATTAGGACTGTTAGCCGATGTTCTCTCTGATGCACTCTAAGTTACCGAAGCACCAAATTAATGTTAAATAAATAACAATTAAGAAGCAAAGAAACTGGCATGATCAATATCATCATAAAAGAAAAGAAAACTTGTCTTCTAAGGAGGTAATATTTTGAGCTCTGCTGAGACAACTTTAACACATCTCAGGCACATGTTTTGCCAAAGTCAATTTTAATTTTATGAACAAATAACCAGCATACTGAAATTGTTTTCGCAAATTTTACCCTATGTTTGGTTCAAATGAGAAGAGGGGAGGGGAGGGATTTTAATGGACAGGAGGGGAAGTAGAGAGAGGGTCCCCTCGTTGAAGGGGAGGAGAGGGAATAGTAATACTATAATACCCCTGTAAGTATTAATGGAGGGGAGGAGAGGGTAAATAAAACTTCAAGGATAATTTTGTCAGTACACTCAAAGATTATGAACCACTTCCCTCTTGCCAAATCCCCCCAATATTTGAGGGAAGGCATGATGGTAAGGGAGGGATTTTAGCCCCCGAATTTCCCCTCCCCTCTGCTCCAATTTTTTTAGCAAAACGAGATAACATTAAAAAATATCTCTCCTCCCCTCCTCTCTGCTTCCTCAAACCAAACATACCATTAATGATGATAAGAGATGAAGCCCAAACAAAATCTTTCTAAGAACCTGGATGAAAATTTTTGTTGACAAGCTACATTTTGGAAATTTTAAATTACACAATACAGACAGACAATTTCTATATATTGTTAATATAATTAGCTTAAGGGAAAACAAAAAAAGCATGCTGTAGAGATCTTGAGATTAGACACATTTTAGCATATTTTAGTGTAGGGCACAGCAATAATAATGACAAGTTTAACAGATTGATACTACAGAAAACCTCTAGTATGCTGAAACATAATTAGAGTCACAGATATACAAGCAAAATTATTTTAATTTAATATTTTTAAATTTTTTTTATTATCTTACATTATTTTAAAAATTATTTTCAATCAAAAATAAATACCACATCATTCCCACCCAAAATCTCACCATTTTATGTGAAAAAATAAACTGGTGGGCCCCACATAAAATATTCAAACTCGTAAAACTTTCTTTTCCAACACTTCTCTTTCTCTACTTAATCTTTTTCACCAAAACAAACAAATCATGAAAGTCATGCCAAAGAGGATTAAGCACACAAGGAGATCAATTAAGTACCTAAACTAGGAGTCAATCTTGAATATTACTTCAATCATTTTAGTAAATGACTCGCCCACCCAAAATCTCACCATTTTGTGTGAGAAAATAAATTTATGGGCCCCATGTAAAAGATCCAAACAAATTAAAATTTTCTTTTCCTACACTTTTCTTTATTTACTTAATCTTTTTCACCAAAATAAACAAAGCATGAAAGTCATGCCAAAGAGGATTAAGCACACAAGGAGACCAATTAAATACCTAAACTAAGAGTCAATCTTGAATATTAATTCAATCATTTTAGTAAATGACTCCAGATGTTCCCCAAAGGAATAAGGATATCCAAAGGTTTCACATTTTCTTCCATCATTCCATGAGTGATCACCACAATAAAACAGAGTCATTTCTTTCTCTTTACCTTAGCAAATCCGTTGACATGTGCAACTCCAAAAGGTGAGTTAGGCTGTTTGTTGTTTCCAAGACCGGAAAACTCCAATTTGTTGGCTACTGGGTGCGAGTTGCATTCAACAGTTTGCCCTAAACCACTACTAACAGAATCATTCTGCTTTTCCACCTGTTTCAACTCACTGCGGCAATTACTTTGACATTCTACAGATGGTGATAAATTCTGGTCAAACAACTTCACAGGCAAAGAAAAAGGCTTATCATGCATAACAACTAGATTTTCACCCTTTCTTTTCTCAACTACACTATCTGCCTGGTCCACATCTACCACCCTTGTTAAATGAGCCATCTGTAAGGGAGAAGCTGCCTTTGCCACAGACATAGGATTATCATCATTGTAAGAAGCATAAGCAGAAATCAAGTTCAAATTTTCCTCATCATTTTTGGTGTCCACAGTCTCTTCATTTTGACTTAATTTGCTAATATTTCTAAACGAATGAATTCCACAATCGTTGCTGTCAATCACACCTTTATGCATGTTATTCTCTGGAGTAAAACTAAACAGCTTTTTCTCTAAAGCAATTTTACGACTTTGAACTTGCTTGCAATTTTTATCTTTCTTGTTTGAAAGAGAAAATCCAGGAGAGTATTTTGACAATCTACCTTTCAATATATCAATTCCTTCTTTGAGACTTGACATGCTAGGAGTAGTTTCAAGAATTTTCATCTTTGAAATGCTTTTATGCACAGAAGATGGAGTTGCATCACTTGTGACACAGACCTCTGGACCAAATTTACCAGATTGCTCTAAAGGTGGAATTATATTTCCAGCATATCTGGATGAACCAGGAGAACTTGTAAATAATTGTTTACTTCCAGAAAATGACAATGGCGTAGACCCATGTACTGGATTTTGATTTACTTGATCAGATTTACGATTGGAGTCAAACACTTGTCCTCTGTCTTCATCCACCTTTACTGGGGTTCCCCTATTAGCATTAGCAAAGCCCAATTGTCTACAAATGGGTACAGTAGAATCTTTAGCAAACTCCTCAATTTGCTGCAAAAGAAAATAACAAACAGCTTACACCTATACGTAATTCAACAGTTGCAATAGCAGATATAAGGATAGCCACAAAAGTGTCTCATCATAAACAATGCACACTGCACACCTCCATTAAAATACATAGAACCAGACAATGCAGCAATAATAAATCCACCATCTCACTAGTCACTACCCACCTTACCAACAAAATTTTCAAGTGCAACAAAAAAGCTTTTAAAAATTAAACAACGAAACCAGTCATGAGACCAAAATAATCAAATAAAACATTTCCCACCTTGATTGGAGATCCAAAAGCTTGGATTTGGTGGACCTGATTAACTGGAGAGGCAATTGAAGAATCTGCCACCTTAACAGACACATTTGGTGAACCCTTGCTGCCTCCTGCCAAAATAGCATCCAACGCAGGAGAGAGCCTGTCGTAATGATAACTATGTACGTGCTCTCCCTCGATGCTCATGTCATTTGAGTCCCTGCCACCACTTTCCACATCTGCAGCAAGCACTTCACACAGCTTCCTCCCCTCCGTGAGATCCATGGAACTTCCGTGAGAGCTTGGAGTCGTGAGGCCGAACTGTCGAGTCTTGATGTCGCCAGAATCGGACCGAGCAAGACTCCGGTAATGCAGCGAGAACGCCGTCGAGTCCATCGTGACGTCGTCGGAGGCACCGGAGTCCGATAACCGATCCGGTCTGATGAAGCAGGCCGATACCGGACCATGAAAATCTTCATCCCCTGCATACATCAAGCAAGCACAACAAATTTATCAACGATGGAGAGAAGCCGAAGAACTAAAGGAACAACAAAACTTCCTTATGTACTTTTGATTCTATTTTTCAAACGAAATTAGATTTGGAAAACAGCACCAAAAGTGTCTAAGTAACTGTACTGTCCCTAGAGGAAACGAGAACAAAAGAGTTAGGGCTCAGCGTCACCGTCGCCATTGTCGGCAGTGCTGCTGCCTCCAGGGGAAGGGGAGCCGATTGCTCGGAGGAAGGAGTTGCTGGCGTCGGCGTCGGCATCGTCGTCGAGCTGAGGTCGCTCGTCGTCATCGCTGTCAGTGGCGAGGTCGCGGAAAAACCCTAAGACGGAGGGGTCGGCAGGGGTATCGGTGGAAGAGGAATCGTCGTCGTCGCGGCGGAAGACGTGTACGGAGGTGATCTCGTTGTCGGCGAAGCTCACGCGACGCGCCCTCTTCTTCTTCAGCGCGATTGTGTCGTCTTCTTCGGTTTGGGTGTTGTTCTTCGAAGGCTCCATTGTCGATGTTTGGGTCTTTTACTTTCTTTTTCTTCCACTAACTCTCGCTCGCTGTGGCTGCTATGGACTATGGTGTGTTTGGCTCAGAGAAAGATTGGGGATGGAAGCGAATGGAGCATTGTGCGGGAAAATGCAGTTTTAATTTTAGCCGTTTGAAATTGAACCTCTGTTTGTTTAGTCAGAAGGAAAGAAGTCTGTAAGCGCGATTCCTCCGAGGCATTTGAAATTGGGTGATAAACTTAGTAAATGTAAATTTAACTCATCAAAAATATATAAAACTTAAATATTTTATATGCCTAGGTAGTTAGTTAACTCTGCAGATTGAAAATGTGAAACTGATTTCGAGTTTCCAACTAATAAAACTAAAAATAAAAAAGTAAGTTTTATTGGTTAATGATAATTAAATAAAAAAATAAAGTTTCATTCCTCTCATTTTTTATTATATTTTTAAAATTCTGTTAAATAAAAAATTAAATTTAAGTTCATTCTTTAAAATAACAAAACTCATTTTGTATTATTTTTATAAAAAAATTAATAAATTTAAATTTTGTTATTTAACCACACTTATTTTTTTATTTATACTTTTTAAAATTTTATTATTTAATGACTAATTTTTAACATTTTTTAATATTTATCTACATATCTTTCATTAAAAATATTGAATACTAAAAATTTTCTTTTATTATTCTAATATATAATATTATTTTATTTATTTTGATCTTCAAACTTTAAAAATTATTTTAAATAGATCTTTTTTAATTAAAAATATAAATTTTATTAATATTTTTTGTCATGCCTACTGATCATGTTATGAATCATTTTTTTTAGATATTCAAGTTTAACTTTATTTTTTACTTTTTTCTCCTTTTCATTTTTTTCTCTAATCTTTTTCTTTCTTCCCCTAGTTTCTTTTTTCTTCTGTTTCAAAATCTTGAATAGTAGTAAATAGCAGTTGTCACTCCAAAGCAGCGTTGTGACTCTATGAGAAAAATATTATCATTCTTGCTTACTCAAGACGTATTTACTATTGATCTACAATATGATTCTTAAGAGTGATGCAGCGTTTGAGGTGATGAAGGAGAAAAAGTATGATTATACTCGGAGTAACTGCATAGTGACAAGGTTGGAAGAGTCAAAAATGCAAGTTGAGTGTTTGTTAGAAAAATAGACAAGAAGGGAAAGAAGAAGAGGAAGAGGTGGAAGGGAAAGCTACAACTAAAGATTTAAGGAAGGAGACAATAAATAATGTGTGAATAGAAAGAGAATAAATATTAATAAAGTTAATATTTTTATCAAAAAGTGACCTATTTAAAATATTTTTAAAAGTTAAAGGACTAAAGTGAGGGTCATTTTTTTTATTATGAATTTTTTAATAAAATTACTAAAATATGGCATTTTTTTATAAAAATTACCTAAATATAGTACATCTAAAAATGTCAATGGCAATTTTAAGACAAAAAAAATTCATAAAGTAAACTCGTCATTGACAATTTTATAATTCAAAAAAATAAAATTTTATAAAATAAAGTTGCCATTGGCGAGTTTAGGAAAAGAAAAATAAATATGATTAGTAAAAATCGTCAATGACGATCTTTTATTCTTGAAAAAACTTTATAACTTTTTAAAATTCGCCAATAACAACTTTTGACCAATGTAAATTTTCAAAATATGTTATAAAATACCATTGGCGATTTTTAATTAGTGAGGCTATAAATACTAAAATCTCTATTCATAGCAACTCGCCCCTAGAACCATTTAAACCACTTCTTAGAGAGTATATGTGAAGCTTGTGTGTTTATGAAAAGAAAAAAAAAATGAGTGTGTTTGTTGTAATTTATTTTAATGGTGAGATTATACCAAATATGAGTGAAGGTGTGGCATTTGCATACGAAAAGCCAACATGTGTATATATTCTATATAATTAATCATTTGAAGGTTTAAAGTATTGGCTTTATCAATATGTTCATGAAGTTTTATTTCCAAAAACGGTAAAAAGTGTTATATATATATGTCTAGTGTCAATATTTGGCATTTTTATGCAATATCATTCAATTCCAATAACCAACAATGATGATGTTCAACAAATGTTTCAGATACATCAGCAATGTCATCCTCCAAGTGGTACGATTGAGTTGTATGTTGTTTTCAAAAGTAATATGAGCTTTAAGAAGAATTTGCCATGCTACTAGAGACAAAGATAGATTGGGAACAAAACAACAGCGAAAGTGATGACTACGACTTTGAAGGAGAATATCAAAGTGATAAGGAAAGCGATGAGGATCTTCATGATGATGTTGATGAAAAGGAACCCTATTAGGATGGGCAACATCTTTTTAGGGAACTACCCTTCATGCGTGAATTAAATCTTGATGCTATGAATGGTTCTAAGTTTCGAAAGTATGAAAACTTAGGTATGTGAAATTTGTAATTATGTCAGTAAGATTAATTTTAGTTTTGTTAATTAGTTATGTTCTCTATTGGTAGGTAATACAGAGATAGATGATGGTGAATTGTATGTTGGAAGGCAATTCAATGACAAACAAGTTGTTATAAAAAGATTAAAGTATTACAGTATATCAAAAGGATTGGACGACAAAGTGTTAGAGTCAGAACTAAATACTTTTTATTGCAAATGTGTATGGCTTAGATTACAGGTGGCTTTTTCGAGCTAGTTTCAAGAAGAACAAGTATTTTTGGAAAATTCGAAAATATAATGTTCCACACACTTGTAGTGTTGGAACATTTTTTAAGATCACAGAAAGTTGGATATAGACACAATTACAAAATATATAAAGTCAATGGTAGAATTTGATCCTTCTTCAAAGTAGTGATTGAAAACGTTAGTCTCAATTTGGGTACATGATAAGTTATTAGAAAACGTGGTTGGTAAAATAAAAGGCAATCGAAAAAGTATTTGATCAGTGAGAAGCCTCATTTAGGCTTTGCTGCAATGTGTGATGTTGTTCAAGGATCTGTTGTAAAATTAGATGTTACAAAGGCTTACCGCAATAATGAAATAGTTTCCAATGTTCAAATACTACGACAAGTGTTTTTGAGTTTTAGTCCTTGCATTAGAGCATTTCAATATTACAAGCCACTTGTGTTGTTGTGTAGGTTGATGGGACTCAATTATATGGCAAATATAAGGGAGTTTTACTAGTGGCTGTTACACAAGATGGAAATCAGAATATATTGCCAATTGCATTCGCTGTTGTTGAGGGTGAGACAACAAATGTGTGGAATTTTTTGAAAATTTATGAAAATATGTTGTTAACAAAGATGGTTTTAGCATGATTTCTAATCGTCACGAGTAAATTATAGCAGCAATAAAAAGAAGCAATGACCAGTAGAAACTTCTAAGAGCATTTCACATGTATTGTATTAGGAACATTGCTACAAATTTCTTGCGAAGATTCAAGGCTCCCAACTTGCATAAACTTCTTGTTTGTATAGGTAATTAACTTGATTTCCATATTTAAAATAATATAATGTACTTATTTTTAGATGATATTGTTCATGCTTATGAAATTTGAATTTGTTATTTATAGGTTACTCAAGAACCGAGCATGAATTTAATATTCATTATGAGTGAATACGGGGAGCGCGGACAAATTTATATAGACTAGCTTAATGAAATTCCATAAGAAAAATGGGTTTTAGCATTTGATGGTGAACATTGACGGGATCATATGATGACAAATCTCGTTGAATGCATTAATTCTGTATTGAAAGGTGCTCGCAATTTGCCTATTACAGCATTTATAAGAGCCACGTATTTCCGATTGGCACAGTTATTTGCACGTAAAGGGAGTGAAGCTTATGCACATAAGAATAATGGACATTTGTTATCAGAAAATATAACAAGTCATCTTCAATCAAACGAGCATGGCTCAAGAAACCTTCATGCACTCAGTTTGATAAACGCAATTAGGCTTTTTCATGTTCAGAATTTATTCAACAGTCAGGAATATAGAGTTCATTTAAAACAAAATTATTGTGATTGTGGAAATATACAAACTGATAGATATCCATGTTGCCACGTCCTTGCTACTTGTTGTAGTCAAAATATTGACTGGCGTTTATGTGAATGAAGTCTATACGATACAAGAAGGAATTTGGGGTTGTCAGGAATGAATCGAAGTGGCACAAATATTGAGGAAAGCATACTTTAAAAGGTTGTCTGAAATCAACTCGTTTTCTTAACGAAATGGATTTGCAACAAAGGAGGCGACCACCACCTTATAGTCTTTGTTGAGGCAAAAACTATAGTTGTAGCGATTGTCCTAATACTCTTGGCCCTAGTTCATAATGTGGAGTAGTGATGTTTTGCTTGTTGTTATGTTGTTGTTGATTATGATGAACGTCAATTTCTTTTATATTAATGTGTTGTTATTGGTATCTTGTAATTTGTTAACTTAGTCGATTGTGTTAATTTACTATTCAGTGACCATTTACAATTTAATAACTTATATTTAAATTTAAAGACATAGTGACAATATTTAAATACATAAATAACATTACAATAGGAGTTAAAATATGTTCTCAAACATGCATGATTTTGAAATTTATAAATTACAACTGATTACTACAGACACCACTAATACAGAAATTACTATCCTCTTTTTTCCTTTTTCTTCTTTATTAATGAAGGATTATATCAATCAAGAGGATGTGTAAAAGGACGTAACATGCGAGAAAGAAATCTCCTTCGTTTTTTTGGTTGACTTGCATCCTTAAGTGTTTACGTCCTTATTTGTTGCATCCCTATCTGCTTAGGGTTTCAGCTCCAATGCATTTTCTGATGGTTAGGTATCTACGTTTGCTTGAGGTGTGAAATCCCACGAGTTAATTGGCATAGACCTTTGCATAGGTAAAACATCATACACTGGTTCTGGTTTATACACATCCTCTTCATGTACAGAAACATCTTCCCTAGTTGGTTCTTCATTTAAATCAAAGTTTGGAGCCAGATTACTTTGAGAAAGTGAAGTTGAATCTATCACAAAATCATATGTTGAAATAAATCTATGAGAAAATCCATTGGTACTACTACAATCAACTAACCTTCGACCTCTTTTCTGCCTGCTTGTTCGACCACATCCAACATTTGCCCTACCTATAGACATATGTCATTGTTGTGGTTGTGGTGATTGTTCATTCCATTGAAAATGTTGTCACTCATTCCTTTTAGGTGACCAATAATACTCTTGATTTGGTTGTATAGAAGCTGATGGAGTATCTTTTGGCTGGATAGGTGGTGCATCCATAAGAGTGTCTTCATGCTTAGAAAGTGACAACTCCATAGGCAATAGTTGTTGTTGAAGTGCTAGGTCTTGCATCTTTGGGGGTAATAATAGCCAATTCATTGCATACAATATGTTACATGCCCAATATTCATTAGAAAAATATAAATTCTGATTGTGGACTCCTTCTAAAATACACTCATGTTGATGCTCCCACATTGTCACCCACTCATGATTTATGACTGTCCAATCCTTTGGTTCTTTTACTCCACGTAGGTCTCTGTTATGGACTCCTTCAAGTTGTTGGGGCTCAAGAGAAATAAGTTGAGCATATCCAAATTAACGTATCACACAGTTAGTTGCATGTCACTCTATAACTTCAAAACATATAAGAGGACTAACAATTGACCACACTTTCACACCTCACTTCGTCTAGAGTTACTGTATCAATTTCATCATCCACATATGATGTACACAAAAACTGTAATAAACAAAATTCATTAGTGTTAATCCCTATTAAGAAAGGTTTGTATATATATCATGATATAACATAATAATAAGATTTAGTAAAACTCTTTACCTCATGAACATCCATTTGATCCAATGCTAATTTAATATTATGAAGCTTCTTAAATAGAGTATTCGCTTGATATCACAAGTGTCTCCATCTAAGAGCAAGTGTAAATATTATCGGTTCTCCTAGTATTGGAGCTAGCAGAGGCGATCTCATGCCCACACCTACAGAAGTATCAAGCAACCACAAATTCCTTTAGCATCATGTCTAGAAGCACAATCCAACCTTTTATAAAGAGAGGTCAAGCATGCTGATCCCCAACTGTATTTGCCAATTTCATTTACATTTGCTAATAATTGCAAGAATTTTACATGTACAACTGAATTACTTTTATTTGGCATCAGAACATGTCCCAACAAGCAAAGAATATACCGACGAACATGTTGTTGTAACCTAATGTCAAAATTCAAAGGAAGTCAACCAAGGAATTGGATAGCCACTTCAATCTAATTTCTAATCCTTCAATGTCGTTTGAATCAAGTTGACATCCTATTAAATTTTCACACATATCCTGTACTACTACAGTTAAGGGATTTGTAGAACCAATCACTACTGCACCATTTATGTTAAGTCGAAGTAACATATAAACATCTTTTAATATAATTGTGCATTCTCCATAAGTTAGGTGAAATATGTGTGTTTTAGGCCTTCAACATTCCACAAGTGTATTTATAAGTGAACTGTTTATTTGCATTTGACAAAGTTGAGAAATTTAATCAAAGCCAGCATGCCATAAAATTTTCATAATTTATGTTCTTGTAGGCGTTATTGACAAGTGATGAGAGCATAGCGATCTTATTACCTGTTATAAATAATATAAAAAACTATTATTAAAATACATTATTTATATTAAATAATCCTACAAAATATTTATAAAATAATATAATTCTTATAAAATCAAAATTCATTATAGTACTATATTTTAAAAAAATATTAACATTAACGCATTATTAACAATAAACATATTTAATAAATTTTAAATAAATTTAAAATAATTACTATTTAAATTATAATTATTTAAAATGCAATGAATAATTATTAAAAAATGTAGAAATTCAATACAAATATCCAACCATATTTTAATTCTCAGATTTTATTAAAATATTTTGTGCATGCAAATTAGAAATTAATTAATTCATTACAAATTACCCTAATCATTTTAAAATGAACTTAAATAATTTATTACTAAATTAACCTAATTAACTAATTTCACAGTAAAATTACATTATAATATAACGTGTTTCACATCATATATAAAAAAATTTAAAATTAACATAATACATTAATGATAAAATATATATTAAAATACACATTAAAAATACATTAAATAAAATTAAAAATTTACATTTAAATTCTGAATTTGCTCAAAGATATATTTTCTTGAATCAGTGGTTGAATCTTTAACCATTTTTTGAATTTTTTTATTTTTTATTTTTTTTTTAGTTTCCTACTCTCTCTCTCAGCGTTCTTTTTCTTCTCTAGAAAGCCTCTTCTTTTTCAATTTTTTATTCCTCTCCCGCGCATGCAATATCAGTTTTGGTGGGTATATATAATGAGGAAAAATCGCCATTGGCGATTTATAGGGTCTTCCTTGCTATAACTCCCTACATGGTGTGATGGACAAAGGTCAAAACTCACCATTGGTGAGTTTACAGGGTTTAGAGGTCTTCCTGTCTTCGTTTTTGGGCATGGGAGTCTAAATAGTTGGTCAAAAAGTGCCTTTGGCGAGTTTACACATGTCAGGCATCTTCCTAGCTCCATTTTTGTGCCTTGCATTGTGAATAGTGGTCAAAAAATGCCTTTGGCGAGTTTACAAATCTCAGACAGAGATTAGACGTGACAACTTTTGCCCAATCTTGACCACCATTAAAATCACCATTGACATTTTTAGAGAATTTTGTACAACCTAAAACTACAATTTGAGCTCTCTGCTATGGTTCTATTCATGTATAAATCACCATTAGTGTTTTTTGTAATGCCATATTCTGGTAAAACTGCAAATTACATCATATTTCTATACTCTTTTAATTTTATACCATATTCAAATAATTTTTTTCCAAAATAAATGAAAATAAAGTTGAAGGAAAGAAACTCTAATTTTGCCTATATGTACACATAAACACATTGGACTACATTTCTCTTTGACTTCAATCAAGAATTTCATTATTTTTCTAAGATTTATACATAAGTATCTTACCTACCCAAATTATTCTTCCTCAAATCTCACTAAACTCAATTAAACTTCAAGTATCTTTTCACAAACTATCTCTTTAGGCAAACAAAAATCTTTACTTATTCTTCTTCAAGCTAACAGCTCTCTCTGTGTAACAAAGAAAAATATACACAAAAGAATAATTTTTTAATCTTATGTGATATGACTTTTTTGTTGCTTAACGCTCTTTTCTTTGTGCATGGAAGTGTCTCTAATTTATAGTAAGTATGTTTAGATTTATGTTAAACACTACTAAACTAAATATTCATTACATTAAATAAATTTCACTATTCCAAGATTTTGTACATTTGCAAAGCCTTTTTTTTACATAAAAAATGATTTGTATCATTTGTCTTTTTATCTTTACGAGCCTTTATGTTATGCACATATCCTTAATATCATAATTATTTATTTCAAAAGATTGAAATATTTAAAATTTATTTATTTCGAATGAATATAATGAGTCTATTGAATAGTAAATATAATTTTATATTATATCAAGTAAATAAGTTAATCATGAGATCTATTTTAATACTACTCTTTAAATATCTATAGACAAAATATTAATATTAGGATAATATAATATGTTGACACTAGTATTTGAACGAATTAATGATCAAATTTCACTAATCATGCATACAATATATCGTATCCTCACAAAGATACACATTAGAGGAGTAATGATATGTTAGATTAATCTACTATGACAAGTTCAATGTGATGATGATGCACGTGGTCCTTTGACTTGAAGTCCAATTATTTCTACAAGAGAAGTTCTATATTTTAATCTCATCAAACATCAACTATGTCATGTAGAGGAGTATAAGTGATCTAGATGAATTTTTTTTCTCTCTTCTATAACAAAAGTAATATTTATAGGCCTCTTGTTTAAACTATGAAATTTGTAACCATGCTAAATAAAAAATAAACATAACATATTTTAAAAAAAAAATTGCTGAAGTATAAAGGAAACAAAGTTGGATTTTACGAGAAAACACATTTTATGCCTTATGTTCAATTAAATATATGGACAGTACAAAATACTTAAATATTTATATTATCAATATAAATAGGTTATAAAAGTAATGTATTGCTCGACCTTGTTCACTATTTGTGATATTAAATATAATATGTTTATATGTAATATTATTTAAAGTCAAAACATAAAGATTAACAATGCCAGAAAAATATACTTTTAGTTAAATTAGATTATCACTTAAGTAGGTCAGACTCGTAAAGAATAAACCGAACAACTAATACATACTCATTACAATTGTTTTCTTTATAAAGGTATCCATGTGAATATTCCAAATACTCGTAACAATGAGAGTTTTTTTAATTGAAGTATTCATATAGATACATGTAGAGACATGACTACTCTTGTCATGCTTGCCCAATGAAGTACATATAAACTCCTAATTTTGATGTGATTGAATGCTTTGAAACGTGAGGCTCACTTGAGAATTGTTATTTTGCAATTGTCACATTCATGTGCATTCAATCAACAAATATTGCATATACTTAGAGAGGATACATGATATCCTAACAATCCTTAGTCTTATTGAAAAAATAAGAAAAGATCATTAACACAACAATTTATACTAGTTTACTATCAAACTTAGAGAAATATGTTTAATATTTGTCATAAGGAACAAAATTTTACACTATAGCAACAAGGTTTACATGCAAATGACAAAAACTCCAAGTATTCCTTCACACTAAGCCTCTTTTAAGTTTTAATTCTTAAGTATTCTTTTTAAATAACCTTTTTTAAGCTTTTCTTATCAAAAGAACAAAAAATAATAACTTTAATATTATCTAAAGATATACTAGAATATGTAGAGATAACATTTATAAAACTTTGATTTTGAACCAAGTATTTAATATACCACAAATTAATGCTAAAGTTTAGAAGCAAGGTTTTGAATCAAGAGAATATAAAATATTTTTTTTTATTCATAACTTCTTCTATTTATGAGTCTATACGATGTTGAATGTTTAGACTTAGTATATTCTTGTTCTAATGCATGTTAAATGCATGAAATCATTGTGTCATTTAGCTTGAGATGGTTTTCAAATTGTGTATATTCTTCTAAACCATGTATATTTTTCTAATTTTATATCTCGCTTTTTCATAGTATGTTGTTTATTTTAGTTACAAAGATGTCTTAGACAATGATTTTGAATGAGTTTTGACAAAAATGTTTTGAAATTTGTTACTTACGCAAAAGATGTTTCTTCGGACAAATAATTGTTTATATATTTTTTTTAGTTAATACTTCAGATGATCATTCAAATGGTCTTTAACATGCTCTTTTTTATGACCATTCAATTGCTCCTTTTAACAATTCTTTTGGATGTTGCATAGAATTTCTATCTAGTAAGTGTACTAGATAGTTGTAGCAAGTAATAAAATACAAAATTATGAGTTTCAAGTATTGTTTGCAGGGATTGATACAATCAATTGCCAACTCGCAATATTAAAATTTATTTGAATTAATCAAAATTTGATAAGGTTTGAATGCTTGAGACAAAAACATAAAAGTGCAATAAAATAAAAGGAAATAGTAGTAAAGTGAAGGTTTGAGAAATGAGATTACTAATCATATGAGGTTAGGGTTAATATCACCTATTTGTCAATTACAAAACTGAATGTGATATGAATTCCTAACTTCCTTAATTGATTGATGATCAATTTCACTAAGTTAATCAAAGTTCAACTCCTTGACTTAATAGTCCTAAAATCTAATCAATTATCCTAATTCCTTAAGTGTAAATCAATCAAACATTGCATTAAGCATGAGAAATT